GGATAATGGGCAATGAAATCATCACCGTTACTACGTCTGCGTGTTCGCTACGTCCTTTGCGCCCTGGTACATTTTGCGACACTTGCTGGACTCGCTGTGCAGGGAATGCGTCATTAAGTGGTATGATGCCTGATGATAAGTTTCACTGAGCAATGGTCGATATTTTGCCGGAAGCAATGTTACTGGCCCAGCCCCAATTTCCTTTTTATTTTTGATATCACTTTTGATAAAGAAGAGCTTTGCATTTTTTTTTCGAATTTCAATCGTATTCTTCGATGTTCCTGGTGCGATTCGAGGAAGAAGCAATGTATTGTCCAGTAATCGAAATTTTGAACCTTCACTAGTAGATGATTCAAGTCCTGTAATACAAAATCAGGAATTTTCGCTTTTGGGTGCATGTGATCATGAAATTTATTTAAAATTGCTACGTTCAAAGGGGAAACGATCCAAACTCAGCCGTCCGTCGTGCCAAGTGCAATTTCTGCTCCCATAGACATCGAAAGCCCGAAGCGGAAACGGCATCAGTCAGAGTTCACTGGAGGATCTCCTTCACAGGTGAGAACTATAGTGCGCTAGTTTTTTCGGAAAAAATATAATACTGTACTGTAATCCATATTTCGAAAACAGTCATTGCCACGAAATTGAATTGATAGAAATACAGGTTAAACTCAACATCTTCGGATTGATGTACGGATTCGTATATGGTGATGTACTGTGATACAGTATTTTGCCGACCGTGGCCGTTTCTTTTTCGTGATCTACCAACGATCTAAACCACACCGTCTCGGTTTTCGGAAGGTGAACTGTTTCTTATGAACTCATTTTTGCGTTTTTACTTTTTAGGCATCTTCGAATTTCTGGTCCGCCGCGGCAAAAGATGATCTGCATATGTGGAATAGTGAGGATAACGTGGCTTCTAGTCACGCCGAAGGTTCTTCGACCAAGCGACCTGGGAACGAGCTTCATGATGATGGACGGATTTTGTGCACTTGTTGGTGTCAAGGCTGGGCCGAAATCCACATTCGAAGACCTACAGGTTGTACAGTAGATGAAAACATGCTCATTTCGCTCAAATGAACTGTCTTCAACAGCAGTTCAATAAAATTACAGATTTAGAAGCGTTACACGACAGTTTTATTAAAGGGACTGACGGATTCTTCTTTTCCCCCCTATAGGAAGCACTTCTTGGGCCATGAAGATACAAAATTCTGCGATTCGAAGTTCGTCTCTGTGCAATGACCGCGTTCTGGGGGATATAATGTCTCATTTGCTGCCATCTTTGCGCGAGCGTGCAATAGATACTGACCTGGATTCGGTGATCCAATCTGTCGAAGAGAAGGATGTAAGTTTCTGATGAAAAATTTATCTCTGGGTAATTTATTAAAATCCAGCTGAATTGCAGGTAAACGTTTCCGTGGGATCTGTGAAATCCGATCTTCTGGATGCTGATCCGGTTAATTCGTCGAGAGATTCTGTGACGCGTGAGTACTTGTATTCGAGCTTTCCCTTGAAAAATTGGGATTGTTCTTAATTTATTTTAACGCTTGAATATTTTTTAGCTAAATTCTCTGCTGCGCAAAACGGTATGTCGGTGGGTTCAAAGTTGAAAGGGGAAACACCCAGCAGCAGAAGTTCGTTGGAAGTTGATAACGCAACTGCGCTCTTGCAAGGTATTGAGGAAGAAGACCGAGATAGATCTGCAAGCATTTCAAACTCGCAAGATTCGTCTGCCGCTGTTGAAAACGCTTTATCCAAGAGCCAGACAAATCTGGTATCCGTGTCCAAGTAGGTGAACTTCCAATTTTACCCGCCATAGCAATATTCTTTTATTATCCTGTGAGAATAACGATGAGAAACTTTTAATCGAATACAGTACCAAAAACGCTTCGAAGGATGATATTTAATGGTTACATGTGTAAGGATTCCTGTTGAATAGGAATACAGCTAGTGGGTTGACGGTGCAGACAAGAATGGGTTAATTGCTTTTTAAACCGGCTGGAATATTTTACATGGTTTGAATCCATTGAGCGAACGAGGAACACAAACCATTAAAAAAGCTGCACAGGGAACTCTTGAAGAAAAAATATCTCGAGAAAGCTGCACGAAGATCTTCAATGTTCTATGATATAAAGGAACAACTACTGCTCAGCCCAATTAACGAAACTCCATACAATGCGGATAAGCCAGGACCATTTGCTTTAATACCGTATGCTGTACTGTGATATATTTTTTCCGGTTCGGTAATAATATTGCGCTTGTAGGTTATTGTCGGATGGTCATACGGGGAGCATGCCGGATTCGTTATACACCGCCTGTTCGAACAAGTCTGCGGAAGCGTCACCTGTGGTATTTATTCATTTTTAGTGATATGAGATACAGGCAGTATCTAAAAATAATTTTTCGTTTTACCTGCAGAGAAAATCTGCCCCGGGAAGTCCTGAAATGCAGCATGAAGACAGTGCTGGGCTTCTCGTCCCAACTTCTTCACGAGTCCTTCAGCATCGCAACAGTCTACAAACAACCATGTTAGGTGTGAAACCATTGGGGATCCCATCTAGCGAAACGGCTTTCCGTGAACGAAGCAGAACCGTGAGCCATGCTGGTCAAGTGGGCAGACCGCGCGGTTCAGTGCTACTCAGTCGAACCGGCTCTACGAATACACTGGGAAGTGGTTCGAAAGACCCTGGTGAACGTGCAGGAATCAATCCCAAGTATGAAATTTGTATCCGTTTCATCAGTTTATTTAAGGCTTGCGCAGATCAAGCTTTTTTTTGAATTGCACTAGAATTGACAGCTTGTAAGTTTGATTCGTGAATAATGTCGAAATATTTTCACTCTAACGTCGAATGTCCGTGAATGCGGGATTTTCTCTGTAATTACATAGGAGTTGACAAAATTATGCTAGATTACGGTTCGACCAAACTTAGTTTTCAACGTGACATTTCAGAGCACATGTTTTGGACTCGAAACGTAGCGTAAGCAAATAATTTTATCGGAGTCAGTGCAAAAATCTTCAAAGCACGGATTGGATTTCCATCTGTATATTCTTTCGTTGTAGGTTCGTATTTCTTCAGCTGTTCTATGGAGGCCATTTGAGGGCCAGTGGTGATGTTGACAAAAATGATGAAAGCGAGCCACTTCTTCTACCGAGGACGAGAGAAGTGGAAAGATCTATTAAAAATCTTGATAGAATTTACCCGTACGAAACTCACAAGATTGGAATAATTTACATTGGGCGAAATCAGTTGGATGCAGGACGAGATTCGGAGAAGGAAATTTTGTCAAATGACTTCGGATCGCCCAGATACATGGAATTCATTCAGGTGATATGACTGATAGCCTTATCCTCATGTTTTCCGATTCTCTTCTGTGGGTACTTTATGTAAAGAGCTGTTATGGCGGGCTAATCTAACGTTATTCGTACTTTCAGGGATTGGGTGAAATAATAAGTTTGTCGGACATAGATACCCGTACTACCTTCTTGGGAGGACTAGACACCGGGGGACTAGATGGGGAATTCGCCGTCACTTGGCGAGATGAGTTGATGCAAGTGATATTTCACATTGCTACACTGATGCCTAAATCGTAAGTGAATCTGACTGGCGTATTTTTCCGTCTTTTTACCTTATGATTGTTGATTTTCAGCGAATCCGATCCCAATTGCAACAACAAAAAGAAGCATATCGGGAATGATTTCGTGTTGATTGTGTACAATGAGAGTGGGCGCCCTTACAATACTTCGATCGTGAAGGTTTGTAAACTCTGCGCATACAGCAATTTTTTGCGAGATATGCATGAAATAAATCCCTATACAGTACAGTACTGTACACTGGGGAGATTTAAAATTAAAAAAAGAAAATCGTAGGATTGATTAAAAAAAATATTTGCGCGATGTAAGACAATATATGTAATCAACATTTATCAACGTATTCTAAAGATTTTTACCCAGGTGTGCACGATTGCATTTTAGGAGTCCTAGTTTTTGGAATCATTGGTGTTATTTATGGTTTAGGGGCAAGTGATCTACTCATGGATTGAAATCCAACCTTTGCCGCATGGATGCAACAAAATTTTGGTTCATGCCAGACCGGAATCAGACGTTTGTNAAATCCAGCTGAATTGCAGGTAAACGTTTCCGTGGGATCTGTGAAATCCGATCTTCTGGATGCTGATCCGGTTAATTCGTCGAGAGATTCTGTGACGCGTGAGTACTTGTATTCGAGCTTTCCCTTGAAAAATTGGGATTGTTCTTAATTTATTTTAACGCTTGAATATTTTTAGCTAAATTCTCTGCTGCGCAAAACGGTATGTCGGTGGGTTCAAAGTTGAAAGGGGAAACACCCAGCAGCAGAAGTTCGTTGGAAGTTGATAATGCAACTGCGCTCTTGCAAGGTATTGAGGAAGAAGACCGAGATAGATCTGCAAGCATTTCAAACTCGCAAGATTCGTCTGCCGCTGTTGAAAACGCTTTATCCAAGAGCCAGACAAATCTGGTATCCGTGTCCAAGTAGGTGAACTTCCAATTTTACCCGCCATAGCAATATTCTTTTATTATCCTGTGAGAATAACGATGAGAAACTTTTAATCGAATACAGTACCAAAAACGCTTCGAAGGATGATATTTAATGGTTACATGTGTAAGGATTCCTGTTGAATAGGAATACAGCTAGTGGGTTGACGGTGCAGACAAGAATGGGTTAATTGCTTTTTAAACCGGCTGGAATATTTTACATGGTTTGAATCCATTGAGCGAACGAGGAACACAAACCATTAAAAAAGCTGCACAGGGAACTCTTGAAGAAAAAATATCTCGAGAAAGCTGCACGAAGATCTTCAATGTTCTATGATATAAAGGAACAACTACTGCTCAGCCCAATTAACGAAACTCCATACAATGCGGATAAGCCAGGACCATTTGCTTTAATACCGTATGCTGTACTGTGATATATTTTTTCCGGTTCGGTAATAATATTGCGCTTGTAGGTTATTGTCGGATGGTCATACGGGGAGCATGCCGGATTCGTTATACACCGCCTGTTCGAACAAGTCTGCGGAAGCGTCACCTGTGGTATTTATTCATTTTTAGTGATATGAGATACAGGCAGTATCTAAAAATAATTTTTCGTTTTACCTGCAGAGAAAATCTGCCCCGGGAAGTCCTGAAATGCAGCATGAAGACAGTGCTGGGCTTCTCGTCCCAACTTCTTCACGAGTCCTTCAGCATCGCAACAGTCTACAAACAACCATGTTAGGTGTGAAACCATTGGGGATCCCATCTAGCGAAACGGCTTTCCGTGAACGAAGCAGAACCGTGAGCCATGCTGGTCAAGTGGGCAGACCGCGCGGTTCAGTGCTACTCAGTCGAACCGGCTCTACGAATACACTGGGAAGTGGTTCGAAAGACCCTGGTGAACGTGCAGGAATCAATCCCAAGTATGAAATTTGTATCCGTTTCATCAGTTTATTTAAGGCTTGCGCAGATCAAGCTTTTTTTTGAATTGCACTAGAATTGACAGCTTGTAAGTTTGATTCGTGAATAATGTCGAAATATTTTCACTCTAACGTCGAATGTCCGTGAATGCGGGATTTTCTCTGTAATTACATAGGAGTTGACAAAATTATGCTAGATTACGGTTCGACCAAACTTAGTTTTCAACGTGACATTTCAGAGCACATGTTTTGGACTCGAAACGTAGCGTAAGCAAATAATTTTATCGGAGTCAGTGCAAAAATCTTCAAAGCACGGATTGGATTTCCATCTGTATATTCTTTCGTTGTAGGTTCGTATTTCTTCAGCTGTTCTATGGAGGCCATTTGAGGGCCAGTGGTGATGTTGACAAAAATGATGAAAGCGAGCCACTTCTTCTACCGAGGACGAGAGAAGTGGAAAGATCTATTAAAAATCTTGATAGAATTTACCCGTACGAAACTCACAAGATTGGAATAATTTACATTGGGCGAAATCAGTTGGATGCAGGACGAGATTCGGAGAAGG